ACATTTTATATGCTATATGGTTACTCTATTTCTTTTGAACAATTGGTAGTGCTATCATCCAAGCCAGGAAATTATCTTACAAGGAATATGTTATGTTTATTTAATAATATTTGCTTCTCTATATTAACAGCTACATTTTATTACATAAATTGACTTTTTTATGTCAAATAACATTAAGTATTTTGAAACAAAGGTAAAAACTAACAAAAACTAATATAAAGGAAATGGAAAAAAGAAAAGAAAGAAAAAGCTAAGCGTAAAAAAATTTTTAAAAAGAAATAGAAACAAGTAGCTTCCAATTTTCTTTATAGTAATTATAAGAAATAACACAAAATGACCTCTTATTATATGGTTGAAATAAAAAAACACTGTTTTTCTATTGCCTATTTTTTCTAATCATCAAAACCATAAATTGCAATTTTTTTTTTCTGTTTTACACAAAAAAATCTACAAGGAGTTTTCAGTCCAGTAAACATATTGGTTTTCTTCTCTCTAATTAAGGAAGTCACTTATAGGATAATGCAGCCATCTCTACAAGTTCCATCATGTTTACCAGCCATTCTTCCATTGTGCCGATTCTATTTTTTTGCATATAAATAATCTTGCTACAGTTATCATATATAAAAACAAAGCTCCATGATTTTTTTCCAATTACTTATCCATCAATCCCAAACGAAAAATATCTGATTTCAATTGTATGTTAATCTTTAAAATCCTCTGAATTGTTGTATTGTATCCAAAACGTTTTAGATTTTTACAAGTCTACCAAGCATGATAAAATGTACCTTCCTGTTGTTTGTCTTTCCAACATAGATTTGAAGTACATTTATACATGATAGATAATTTTTCTTGTGACATATATCAACAGTATCAAATGTTATAAAAATTCTCTTTAAGATTATAGCGTAATGTAAATTTCAATCCTTTCAGCCACATATTTTCCCATTTCCTATTTATATATTATAACCAAAATTTTAGCCTATTTTATCATATATGCTTTCACTTGTTCTTTTTCTGTTTCAAATTTCAATAAAGTCTATACATTTTGACAATTGGCAGTGTTCATCATTTGTACAGAGTTTATTTCAAATTCAGTTTCAATGTTCAAAACCATAAATTTATTTATTTATTTATTTTATTTTATTCAATTTGTATACCGCCCTTCTCCTAGTGGACTCAGGGCAGTGCATAGCCAAAACTAAAACACATAACAATACAAAATTTAAAATTATTAAAAGAATTATATACTTTGGCCCAATTATAAAACAATTCGAATTAAAACCCATTGACAGATTAAAAGCTAAACAACTAAAAAACTAAAAAAAAGGGGGGGGGTTCACGCCAGCCCTGCTTGATGGAAAAGAAAAGTTTTCAGGGCACGGCGAAAGACCCGGAGATCCGATAACCTTCTTATCTCCGGGGGCAAATCGTTCCAGAGGGCGGGAGCTGCCACAGAGAAGGACCTCCCCCTGGGGGTCGCCAGCCAACATTGCCTGGCTGACGGCACCCTGAGGAGTCCCTCTCTGTGGGAGCATACTGGTCGGTGGGAGGCTATCGGCGGCAGAAGGCGGTCCCGCAAATACCCAAGTCCTATGCCATGGAGTGCTTTAAAGGTGGTAACCAACACCTTGAAGTGCACCCGGAAGACCACCGGAAGCCAATGCAGCTCACGCAGGAGGTGTCACATGGGAGCGATCCCTCGCTCCCATAATCCCCCGCGCGGCCGCATTCTGCACCAGTTGGAGCCTCCGGGTACTCCTCAAGGGGAGCCCCATGTAGAGAGCATTGCAATAGTCCAGGCGGGAAGTGACGAGCGCCTGAGTGACTGTGCGTAAGGAATCCCGATCCAGAAAGGGACGCAACTGGCGAATCAGGCGGACCTGATAAAAAGCCCCCCTGGCCACGGCCGTCATATGCTCTTCTAAAGACAGCCGTGCATCCAGGAGGACGCCCAAGTTGCGAACCCTATCCGTGGGGGCCAATAACTCGCCCCCAATAGCCAGCGATGGCACCAGCTGGCTATATCGGGACGCCGGAAGCCACAGTCACTCGGTCTTGGAAGGGTTGAGTCAAAGCCTGTTACTCCCCATCCAGATCCGCACAGTCCCCAGGCACTGGGACATCACTTCAAGGGCATCGTTGGGATGGCCTGGGGTGGAGATGTACAGTTGCGTATCATCAGCGTATTGATGGAACTCCACCCCAAAGCCACGCATGATCTCACCCAGGGCTTTACATAAATGTTGAACAGAAGGGGCGAGAGGTCTGACCCCTGAGGCACCCCACAAACAAGGCACCTCGGGGTCGATCTCTGCCCCCCTGCCAACACCGACTGCGACCGGTCAGAGAGATAGGAGAACCACCGCAGAACGGTGCCCCCCACTCCCAACCCCTCCAACCAGCGCAGCAGGATACCATGGTCGATGGTATCAAAAGCCGCTGAGAGATCTAACAGGACCAGGACAGAGGAACAACCCCTATCCCGAGCCCTCCAGAGATCATCCACCAACATGACATTTCCGTGCTGTGCCCAGGCCTGAAGCCGGACTGGAGCTGATCCAGATAGACAGCTTCATCCAGGTATCCAGGAAGCTGTCGTGCCACTACACTCTCAACAACCTTCGCCAAGAAGGGAAGGTTGGAGACCGGACGATAGTTAGCCAAAACAGCCAGATCCAGAGCAGGCTTCTTGAGGAGGGGCCTCACCACAGCCTCTTTCAAGGCAGATGGCAAGACACCCTCACTCAAGGAAGCGTTGATAATCCCCTGGAGCCAGCCTCGCGTAACCTCCCGGGAGGCCAGCACCAACCAGGAGGGACACGGGTCCAATAAATATGTGGTCGCGTTCAGCCGCCCCAGTATCCTGTCCATGTCCTCAGGAGCAACAGGGTCGAACTCCTCCCAAATGGCAGTCTCAAGACTGGCACCCATCATCCCGTCTGTACCTACCCAGTCAGAGACCAAGCCTTCCTGAATCTGAGTGATTTTATCGTGCAGATACTGAACAAAATCCTCGGCACCACCCTAAATAAATAAATACTTTTATTTACTTTAAACCTTTCTAATAATTAAGAAAACCACTAAGAAAAATTTATGCCTCTTCTCCCAACATTTCTCTTGATTTTATCTTAAAATCTTTATCTTGAAAGAATTCTAATATCTTACAATAAGTTAACCATTTGTATTTACTTACCATTTCTCATCTATGCAATGCTTCTTGTGCTGATAGTCATAACGTTCTTCTGACACAACCTAATTTGTATCTATAGATAGCCCTCAATTTACAATTGTTCATTTAGTGACCATTCAAATTATATTAGCACTGAAAAAAGTAAGTTATGATCATTTTTCACATTTATGACCATTGCAGCATCCCCATGGTCATGTGATTAAAATTCAGACACTTGGCAAGAAAGGTTGTAAAATGGAGCAAAACTCATATAACTGTCTTGCTTAGCAACAGAAACGTTGGGCTCAATTGTAGTCATAAGATGAGAACTACCTACAATATATTCCAAATTCTCAATATAGGATATCTGACCTAATGATTTTTAAAACATTAACCTAAGTTTTGTCATACCAAAGTTTCTGGTTATCACCTTTAAAGCGCTCCATGGCTTAGGACCTGGTTATTTACGGGACCGCCTGCTACCACCAATAGCCTCCCACCGGCCAGTATGCTCCCATAGAGAGGGGCTCCTCCGGGTGCCGTCGGCCAAACAATGTTGGCTGTCGGCCCCTAGGGGGAGAGCCTTCTCTGTGGGGGCACCTACGATTTGGAACAAGCTCCCCCCGGAGATACGTAGGATCCCGGATCTGCGCACCTTCCGCCGCGCGCTTAAGACTTTTCTATTTTATCAAGCTGGCCTGGCCTAAATCTTCCCCCTTTTTAAATGTGGAAATTTTAAATTTTTAAATTTTAAATTTGTCTTATTTATAGGGGTATGGGTAAGGCGTTTTAAATTGGGGAGCCATTTTAGATTTAATTCTGTTTTAAACATATTTTAATTGTTTATATTGTATGTTTTTTTAATTTTGGCTGTTCACCGCCCCGAGTCCTTCGGGAGAGGGGGCGGTATAAAAATCTAATAAATAAATAATAAATAAATAATAAATACCACAAATATCTACGCCACCCAAATCCCACTCCAAATGCCTTCTATTTCACTCTAATTCCAAATGCTTTCTATTTCTCAGAATCATCCATTCTTTCATATTTAGATACATCCTTCTGCCATTGTCAAGATGTCAATGTCAAAACAGGTATTGTCTGAAACAAAAATAACATGCTAGGTAAAATATTTTCTTACCCTCAGGAATTCTCTCCAGCAATAATTGTATTTTCTTCCATCTTAATATACCTTTTTCATTCCATTGTTTTAACAATTATTTTGAAATAACAATTCACATTTATCATAGCGATACCCAAGTATTTTATCTTCCTCTCAATTTTAAACCTGTTTTATCAACTAATTCTGTTTGATCTTGATTTTCATATATTTAACATTTCATCTTCTGTTTATTAATCTCAAAATCTGACAAAGCATCAAATCATTTTAAGATATCCATTAATATTTCGGTTCTCTTAAAAGAACAAGACCAAATCATATGCAGAAGCTCTTATTTTATAAGTCTTTTGTTAAATATTTACTCCAGCAATCCTCTCATCCTATCTTATGTCTCTATGCAGTATTTCAAGAAACAAAATAAACAAGAGAGGGAGAGTAGACTTATCTTGTTCCTGCCTTCACATGGTTTTGTTAGATCTACATTAACAACACTTTATGCTTTCTGTGAAGTATAAATTGATTTTACCCATTTTATAAAATGCATCTTAACTCTCATATCTTCCAAAATTTTAAACAGGAAAGTCAAGTTCAAATTGTCAAAAGCCTTCTCTGCATATAAAAGAAATCAATGCAGCTTGTTTTTCATTATATTGTTCCTAATGTCCCAAAATATCCAAAGAGTTCTGACATTGTCTTTTAACTGTCTTTTAGGTAAAAACCGGTAGTGACCCTTATGAATAAATATTTGCAAAAGTATTTTCAGTATTTCAGCTAAAATAATTGTGAACAACTTTTAGCTATTGTTCAAGAGTAATATTGCTCTATATTTCTTATTAGAGCCAGATCTTATCCCTCTTTGGGTATTAATGTTATATTGGCCTCTTTCCAAATTTCTGACATCTTATCTCCTTACAGGTTAAAATTTATTGTGTTTTATAATGGTTGTAAAAGTTCATCCTCAAAACATTTATAATACAAACCCGTTAATCCATCCAGGCACCTTTCTTGGTTTATTCTTTTTCATAGCTTCCAAAATTGTCCTTATTGTTATAGGTTCATTCATAATTTGTCTTTATTTTTCTGTAATCCATGGTAAATTTTATTTTCTAAGGTATTCATCTATTTTCTCCAAAGAAATATTATGTCCTTTATATAAACTAGAATATTGATGTAACACATTTTGCAAAGCCATATTGTCATAACAGTATCTGTTATCTTGACGTTTCAATATAGTTTCATTTTTCTTTCTTTTCTTAGTTTTAATGATCTTAGTTTAAATGCCAGTCAGTTCCCTGATTTACTCACAAATTCAAAATTGTTGTGGTTTTTTTTTGCTTTATACAGTTTAATGTTTTTCCATGTTTCTTACTGTTAACATAGATAGCTGTTGCTGTGAAAGCTTAATTTGTTGAGAGATATACTTATCTTCTCTGGAAATGTCTATACTTATACTTTTCTTTTTATCTGCAGTCCTTTCCCACAGAGAGGGTCTCCTCAGGGTGCCATCAGCCAAGTTATGTCGGCTGGCGACACCCAGGGGGAGGGCCTTCTCTGTGGGAGCCCCAGCCCTGTGGAACGAACTGCCCCCGGAAATTCGTAAGATCTCCGACCTCCGGGTGTTTCGCTGCGCATTGAAGACCCTGTTGTGCCGCCAGGCCGGACTATCAACACAATAGTTTTAAATTGGGGTATTTAAATTTTTTGGGGTTTTAAATCTGAGCCAATTTATTTAATTATTTTAAATTTTATATTGTTGTTTTGTCTGTGTTTTTAAATAGGCTGTACACCGCCCTGAGTCCTTCGGGAGAAGGGCGGTATAGAAATATTATTATTATTATTATTATTATTATTATTATTATTATTATTATTATTATTATCATCATCTCATACTTTCATACTTTCTCTTGCTTCTTCTTAAGTTTGGTATTATGTTATATTAAATAACCTCTAATAAAAGCATTACTTGCATCCTAAATAATTCTTAAGTTGGTGCCTTTATTTGAATTAGTTTCAAAAAATATTTAAATGTCTTTTTGCAGCCTTCCATTATGGCTTGTTTCTGTAACTTTTCATTTAATAACTATCTAAAAGAACTAGAAATCTTCAAGGTAATTTATCTTGATTTTAATATTTTTCTCAGAAGTTCTGTCCAGTTGGTAGGGGGGTCACTCCATTCCAATCCTGCATCAAACAGTTTCCATTAGTGAAATCCTCTTTTGAAGAGCATTTACTCCATTTATATTCCATGTTCCATTTGTAATCTATGATCAGGCCAAAAATTTAGAAAAGTCAATACATGCAGTGCCTAATTCAGTACCATGTCTTTCAAATTCTTGTTGCATCTGTTGTAATTTTCGTGTAATTTCTTCTAACACTTCCATTTGGATCTCTTCCAGTTCTCCTTTAAATCTTCTAGGAACTCTCTTACCTTCTAAACAGAATTCAGTCAAAATCTCTGTTGTTTAAGAATAAACAATCATACCTTCCAATTTGTCCCATCACAATGGGATCTTTATCTGCTTTAATGTTTCAGACAAAAAATATTACTTTTTTCTCTCGCATAAAATTCTGATAGGAATTATTTTTAAAGAAATTATATCTCTACTCTAAATTTTAAATCTTATATTAAAAAGCTGCTGTAAAATTGTTTTATTAAAGATCAGGAAATACAGTTAGAAACCAAAAACTGGGAAAAGGTTATTATATATATTGTCATATGATGGAATTTATTTTAGTTACTATGTACAAGTAAATATTAGATGTTAAAATTATTATTATTATGTATGTTTAAAAAGTAAAAACTAAGAGATGATGGACAGGCTTACTAAGATAGATAAGCAAATACTATTATGTGATCACCATCAATGTTATGAATATGAATATTAATATTATTACTATTATTTCTTAAAATGAACTGTACCCAGACAATACACTGATCATGTAGATACTGATGTTAAATAAAAAAAACCTTGAAAAATAAAGCTGCTGTAAAACTTATTCCTCTGTCTTCTTAAGAAAAATATACTATAACATCCCTTGGAACATTTCTGGTTCTGGCAAATGTAAAGTTTATTCTATAAACTTTATCAGTTTCTGCAACAGCATCTTCCTCTTCCCCATCCCAAAAAAATTGCTTGGGCTTTAATCAACATTTCTCTAATATCTTAATCTGAATTTTCAGGGATTGCTCTAAGTCTCTAACAAAAGTAAGTTCATCTTTAGTGTACCATTCTGATAATAAAGGCAATGTGTTTATGAAAGTGTTCTTTCTGATTTTTAAATGGATTATTTCATAGGCATATTAACACAACACTTCTATCTCCTTCTATGAAGCATAAGTCTTTATCTAAGATCTTTATTTCTGAGTTTTTATCTCCATCCCTCACAGCATTCACTGTAAAGCCCTTCTGGTAAAGTTTACTATCTTAAACCAAATACATTTTTGTCAGTCCCTGTTAGGTACCATCCATCTCATGCAAGCAATCTGTCATCCAGATAATTTGCTCTTGGAGCCTAGCTATCAAATGAATTGCTTAAGAATATAAGAAAAGGCAGGCTGGATCAAAAGTAACCATATCATTCTGTACACTAACTTCTATTTCAACAGAGCTTAATAAACATCTCTGGGAAGCCCCCAAAATGGACTATTAGAAAACATCAGCTTCTTTAATGCTATCCAGCATATACATCAGCTGCTGTAGATCTCTAGCAAAAATAAATAAATAAACAAACAGAATGATGATCCTCAATGATCCCATCAAAGCCCCTTTAAGTATATCCATGGTATCCCTAAAGGTATCCCTTTAGTGATAGCCAATCACTAAAGATTGGCTATCTGATACCAATGCTCATTATTCTATTCTGTTTGCAAGATAGATTAGTTTTGTAATTTATGAAGTTATCCTTAATGGGTTCACTTCTCTGTACTTTAATAAAATAACTCCAGGTAAATAGAAGTGCCATTTCTCAATACAAAATCAATCTTGGATGATACGATTCAGCCTGGATGTGGGGCTGCACTCCCCCAGAAAAAACAGGTGTCCAGAAGTTTCATTTGGCACAAAATCAGCAGCTAATCTGCTAAGTGATGCAAAGCACAGGGATCATGTTACACCTGTGGGAATCAGCCCTGATTCAATTTTGATGGGGATTGAAGATTCAAATCTGCAGCTCAACATTTGAGGACAAACTAATTTTATTGAAGCAGCTTCAAGATTTGAAAATTGATTCAGACCCCAAAATGAATATGCTCCAAATGTTAAGCAGTGTCCAGCTCAGTCACTTAAGCCAGCTGCTTTCTTCCCCAGCTGCTGTCCCAGGAATTACATGCTACTTCCTTATTTAATTTTGTTTTCTCTCCAGTCCAAATAAAATATTAATAATTCTTTGCTCTTCTTGCAGTGCAGCTGTTTCCAATCCAGTGCCCTCCAAATGTATTGGACTTTAGCTTCAGAATTCTCAGCCATATTTAATTCCAAAACATCTGGAGGGCACAAGCTTGAATAATGATTAATCAAATAATGGATATGTTAGAAAATGATATTACATACATAACACTCACCTTGTTATATTAATAATTACGAGCACATATACAAAAGTTTAAACTTGTCATTATTCCCTAACACATCAAAAGCATCTCAATTATATTTTAATAAATTTCAATTGTTACTATCAATCTTATCAAACATTTTAATAGCCATACTATATTTTGCAATTAATTGACCCTTCATGAAAAAAAATCACTTCATGAGTTGCAAACACACTATTTTGTTAATTCCTGAAATCTTGCCAATTACAGACCAGTATTGCTAAATTCTTCCTCTTTCTTCATAGATTATTAAATCCTTAATTTTAAAATCATTTACGCCTTACTTCAATATGATTTTAGTAGAACTGTCAACTTATGTTCTCTCTCCAACTCAATTAGTTATTTACAAGTATTTCTAACTGTCTAATTGTCTTGTTAACACTCAGCCTCTGGAGCCGATTCTTACAAACTTGGCTAATCCATACTTCAACCCTTTGTTATTGTTCATCACTTCAGATTCTTTGTGACCCAATGGACATCAGTTTGCCACTTTGCAATAATTGCTTCTTTGAGTTCTTGCAAGTACAGGCTTGTGTCATTAGTAATAGCATCTATTCACCTTACCTTGTCTCAACCTCTTTTTTTATTGCCTTCACTTTTCCAATCATCAATATTTTTTCTAGTGACTCTTGCTTATATGTGATGTGTTCAAAATATCTTAAACCGTAGCTTCATTATTAGTGCTTCTGGTGAATCTTCAGGTTTTACTTAATTTTGGAATTATTTGTCCTTTTTGTGGACAAGCTATTCTAACAATTTTCTTCAGGGCCATTATTCAAAGACATCCATTATACTGTATTCAGCTTTTCTGATGACCCAACTTTCACAGCCATATTTGAAATTCCAATTAATGCCATACTTTCAATGTATATAACAAAAGAACGGGAAGTTGCAATAATTTCTTGAGGTTGCTGGGAGAGAAGGCAGGGAACAGTTACAGTAATACTAATCTGTGTTATGCACATTTGTTGATTTTACTTGAATGCTTGATTGCTTAGTACTGGAGAAAATAGGACAGAAAAAGTGTCTAGGTTTAATATTGTCTGTGCTGAACACTAGCACTTATCCAGGTTTTCTTCAGGCTTGCACCTTTCCTACCCTTACTTACTTGAAGGTCCAGATTTCCCCTTGGCAATCTTTCATGTCAAGAAGACGGGTAGCATAGTTAGAGTCCTTTCCTTCATTTTGGAAACAGGTTAACATTCTATAAAGAGCAGATGCAAACTTCATTAAGACTGTTTTTCTAACACAGAAACAGAGAAAAAGCAATTTTCAGATTGGTTGGTAGACGAGAGCTCTTGCCTGGGGCTCTATTGGAAGCCCTGTGCTCCTTAAGGTATCTAAAAATGACTTGGATAAGGCGTGAAAAAATAAGGATGGTCAAATTTGCAAATGACAGAATGATAGGGGAAATAACATATACTTTGGAGGACAGTATTAAAATTCAGAGGATTTTTACAAGCAGAAACACTGGACAAAATCCAGAAGAATAAATTTCAACAGAGAAAAATGCAATTTGGTAGAAAAAACAAAGGCAATAGTATATCATGGCAGGAGACTATACCGGCAGCACTACATGTAAAAAGGATCTGGGTGTCTTGGTGAATCACATGCTGAATGCCAGCATGCCAATGTTGTGATCAAGGACAAAAAACCCACAATCCTCTACTGCATCAATAGTGATACAGTGTCAAGATCAAGAGAAATCATCATTCCTCATTCTACATTGGTCAAGCTGCACCTAGAATATTGCATCCAGTTCTAAGGGCAGCATTTTAAGAAATGGAAGAGAACAACAAGAATGATGAGGAATGTAGAGGAAAATATTTTAAGGAACAAGTAGAGGCATGAGGTATGTTTGGTCTGAAGAAGACAAAACTGCAGAGAAACATGATGCCTGTATTCAACAACCTGAATGTAGAAGACCAAATAAGAAATTACTTCAAATTATAAGGTTGCACTTTTTGTTGAACTTCAAGAAAAATGACCCAATGATAAGAGTTCTTCAAAAATGGAAGAGATTGTCTGAGGAAAGGACAGAATCACCTTAGCTTTGTATATTTAACTAAGCGTTTGATAGCTATCTGTTATGGATGATGTAGTGGTTGACTTCTTGGGATTCAAAGAAAGGAAGTGAGAACGGAAAGAAACATTTATTCCCATAGCAGTGGCAAGAATTACCTGCTATCCATTAGTGATTCCATCCCTCAGACCCGTTATTTTCTGCTCTGCACGTTAAGTCTCAGGACAGCTCTAATTTGTCTCCTTAGCTTCTTATGTATCTTCTTTCCTTGTCTTTCCTCTTCACATTGCTCTACCAGAAGACCCCTAGGGAGAAAAAAAAAATCCATTGAAACAAAACAGAAGAAAAAAAGTGCAAAAGTTTGCAGTGAAGGAAAGGTTTGCAGCTAATTATCCTCCTTCAGCAAAAGAAAATCTGGAATTTACCAAGGTAAGGATTCACTGCAGGCAGGACTTTGAAAAGCATGTCAATTCCAGAGTTTATGACAGCTGGCCAGTATATTTGTGTTCTTTACCAGCTTTATAGTTACATGTGCTTTTTAAAACAATAAATGTGCAAGAACATCATCTTGGAAATGGCCCAGAGTTTGTAAAACCAGTTTTGTCAAAATAGAAGACTCCAAACCATCTAAAGAATCCAAAGATACAGAAATGGCCAACCTAATACATCTCAGCAGTTTTTAATATACTTTTTCCACATTTGAAAGGTTTATTGCTTGATTTGTTTGTAATAAATGAATGCTGGAATGCATAGTTTAGATTTTATTAGCAGTAATGGAATTTTCTGAAAATAACTGCAGAACATTAAAAATCTTTCTCATCTTATGTAATGATCAGCTGGTATAGAGAGACTGAAATAATATAAAACTATAAAAGAGCTTTCCTGGGTTCATCTGCTCCATGTTTCTGTATCCTGTAATGGCACAGTTGCATTTAGGGGGGGGGAAATCACTTGTAATAAGTCTGTGTGGATCACAAATGATTCCTTGTGATGTGGGCAGGGCCGGATTTTCCTATAGGCTAACTAGGCTTCAGCCTAGGGCCTCAAGATCAAGAGGGGCCTACACAGTGGCGGGATTCTGGGGGTTCTAGGGGGTTCGGCCAAACCCTTTGTTAAATTGCTGGCTCGCCCGCCCCTCGCCTCCCACCCGCGCAGCGCCAGCCTACGGTAGCCAGGGGTAGGCAATTGTGGCTCTTTTACAACCTGTGGCCTTCAACTTCCATAATTCCTGAGACAGCTTGGCTGTCTCAGGAATTCTGGGAGTTGAAGGCCACAGGTTGTAAAAGAGCCACAATTGCCCACCCCTTCCCTAGCCTGAGTTCTGCTGCCTGGGATCCACGTGGGCTGCCACGTGGTTCCCCACCGGCTCC